CCCCCCCCCGGGGGGGGGGGGGGGAATGATTACACCACAGTCCCTTCTCCTCCATTCTCCTATTGGGCTTTTGGACATGCACGTACATATGACCAGTGGGAGTTTCTTTCTTTTTTTTTTTCCCAGTAGAAGTTGCAAGCCACTGGGTCCAGGACTCAAATTGCAGTTGGCCATGTGGGAGTCCAGTGATGTAGTCATTATGCCATCTGCTAGTCCCAACAGCATAGTCTTTGTAAAATTATGTATTTCTACTTTATCTCCAAGAGCACTTTACATTTTTTTTTTTGAGATGTTTTTGCTAGAGGGCATGTGCACTTGGCAGAAAGACAGAAAGACAGAAAGAGAGAAATCACCCCCCAGGGAGGATGGCCACGCTGCAATCCCTTCTCCTCCATTCTCCTCTCGGGATCTTGGGCACGCACGCACACACCCACAGCGTGACATTAAGCCACCAGGTCTGGGACTCAAACCAAGGTCGACTACATGAGAATCGAGCGATGTAGCCATTATGCCATCTGCTGGGTTTTTTTTTAAACATAAGGAATCTCTAACAGTAAAGCCATCCTGTCCTGATAATTATAAAAGTAATAATATTTGATGAAAATTCAGCAACCTCAGAATAGAGCAACAACAACAAAAAATCAAACTTCTCTTTCAGTAGTGTAAACATTTTGGTATACGTCCTAAAGTATCTTTTTTTTTAATCTCACTATACTAAATACATCACACATTAAAACTATTTATTAATCAAAAGTGGTATATTATATTCTCTTTGCAGAAACACACAGGCAGACACCAGCTGACATTCTCTTACATGAGGGAAGCTATTAAGAAATGATGACAGGAGGCCAGTAGGTGGCATGGTGGTTAAGGGCACTGGACTTTGGGAACCAGCAGTTAGCGTAATGGCTATGTCGCTGGACTCCCACGTAGTCGACCGCGGTTCGTGTCCCGGACCCGGTGGCTTAAAAAACTCACGCCGGGCGCGTGTGCATGCGTGCCCAAGATCCCGAGAGGAGAATGGAGGAGAAGGGATTGCGGCGTGACCATCCCCCCGGGGGGTGATTTCTCGCTTTCTGTCTCTATGTCTCTCTCTGTCTGCCTGGCGAGCGCACGCGCCCTACAGTGAAAATCTCTCAAAAAAAAAAAAAAAAAAAAGGCACTGGACTTTCATATGGCTGACTGCAGTTCAAGTCCTGGTCCTGGCAGCTTGGTTTTCTACTTTCTCTCTCTGTCTCTTGCTTACTTGCTGTCCCTCTCTGGTCAAATTAAAATAAATAAATAAATAAATAAGTTAAATAATTCTTAAAAAATATATATATATACAATGCCTGAAGACAAATATCAAGAAAGACAAGTTTGAGAGGTAAGCAAGATAAAGTCATATGCTTTTCTTCTCTGCCTGATTTTGGAATGGACTACATTCTGTTTGCAACTACCCCACTCAACAATAAGACTACCCAACATGTTTCTTTTATAAAAAGAATTATTCAATTTTATTTATCATTATTATTATTTTTAAATTTGCCACAGGGCATGTACACTCACTAGATTGAGAGAAAGAGAAACATTGAGAAAGCAAGTCGTCAGGTCCAGGATTCAAACAACAGTCATTATATGAGAGTCCAGCGCCCAAACCACCATGTCAGCTGCTGACAGGTTTCTTTTTTCATTCCAAGTCTCCAAACCCTTTCTTAGATTTTTTATTTTCACTTTACTCCAGCAGAGTACAAGTAAGGGTCCACAGTAGTGGGCCTGATTTTAGCAAAGAAGAAACACGATGAAGTGCCACCAGGAACTGGCCCTGCTGCTGCTGCTGTAGCCTCATCTCACTGCCACACACCTGACAGGATCTACCCAGCTCTGTACCTCAAGCTGACCCTGTCCCGCCCCATCTCCTACAAAAAAACATCAGAATTCAGGGTTTCAAAAAAAAAAAAAAAGAATTCAGGGTTTCACTGAGTCATAAGTGACGCAACAACAGTAATTATTTTGAATCCTGTTTTCCCAAAGCATCTATATGAGCAAGAAAATATCAAGACTCTAAGGAACTTCTTTTACTTCCAAATAATGAAATCTAAACGGTTTTAAGACAGGATAAAAAGACTCCTGCTTGGGACCAGCAGTTAGTGTAATGGCTATGTCGCTGACCATGGTTCGAGTCCCAGACCCAGTGGTTTAAACTCAGGCTGGGCGCGTGTGCATGCGTGCCCAAGATCCCGAGAAGAGAATGGAGGAGAAGGGATTGCGGCGTGGCCATCCCCCCCCCGGGGGGGGGTTCTCGCTTTCTATCTCTCTGTCTCTCTGGCAAGTGCATGCATCCTATAGCAAAAACCATTCAAAAAAAAAAAAAATTCATGTTTACTCATTAATCATTAATTCATTTAACTTTTCAGAATCACAGCTTACAAACTATGCTTTAATAATTACTATATCAATAAAGATACTAGATTAGAAACTGCAGAAAACAAATTTGTATTTGATTATTAGACTAACTAATAAAAGATTACATTTTAGTAGACACCCACTGATGCAGAAACTAGGCTCGCACACAGTCATAAAATGAACTCAAGTTCTTGCCGTTCTGGAGCTCACTGTCCTTATGGAATAGAGAGATAAAAGCAGAAGTCACAGACAGAAACCCCAGTACCAAAACATCAGTAAAAATAAAGTCTTAGAATGATCAGATCTTAAAAACTAACTTCAGGGACAGAGAAAAGCTTTACTTCTAGGGCATAACTTTCATGTCTATAAATAAGTTGGTAGAATGATTAAAAGTTTCGATTTAGGATTCTGAAACTACACTTCTGTAATTTTAGCTTTTATTCAAATTAACAAAATAACTGAAAACCAAATGCCATATGCAAAAATAAAAGCAAACCTTTCCACTCGGACGGTGAGGTCCTCTGCAGGTCTCTGGTTTGAATATCCACTAAGCTCCTGAGAGGGAGTGGCATGGTCTGAACTTCCTCCTCCTTAATTATTAAATAAAAAGATAAAAGAAAACTTCACTTATTGCAATTTTTAAAAGGGATAAATCTTCTGGGTTACAAAATCTGTTAATAGTCTTGCTTCAGTGGAGTAAGTGCTCAGGAAAGAAATGTTTAACAGACACAATAATTTGCATGTAAACAAGGCAAATAGAGTATGGAATCGTACACCACAACAGAGGAAAAAAAGAAGACATTGCCAATATTCTTAAAAAAAGACTAAGAACAAAAATTGAAGGTGCACAACAATGTTCTTTGTTGAAGATGAGGAATATAGTAATATCTTTGATTTATCATGCACCGTATGCATGCTTTAAAAAACTATATTGTACCCTGAGTAAGTACAAATATAAATTTAAAACAATTTTGCTTCTTAAAAATTGCATATGTCTCCCATAAAATGAAGCAGAAGATAAGAAATGAGCTATTATTACTGTTCCTAAATTTTGGATCTATTAGGTCGTCAGGAAAGTCACAATGCATTTTTCTAAGTCATGTATCATGACTTTCCTGACAACCCAGTAAACAAAATAGTGTATAAATGGAAATAAGGCAGATATCCACTTCTTCCAGGCAGAAGTCAGAAAAAGGAGAAAGGCTTCCTCTGCCAGGAGGAAGTTAGGTGCTCCCAGCTTCACTCTAGAGCAGCGCCGTCCAGGATCTTTGCTGTCCAATTTAATACCCACTAGCCACTTGAATCTGCGAAGTCCCTGAAATGACATGACTACAGGTAAGGGACTAAACTTTAAACTGCAGTTAAAAGCAATTAATTTAATGTAGTCATATATGGCTCTTGCTATGGTATTGAACAATGTAACTCTAGAGGCCCAGTTTGATCCTGGGGGTAGCTCTAGACTTGAGTTGTTCCAAGGATCTACTTCTGCTGACGAGAGTGACTCCTTTAAGAGCCCTTTTATACTTGCATTCCTTTAAAGATTCCACAAGGGAAGGGAAGGGAAGGGAAGAGAGAGAGAGAAAGAGAAAGAAAGAAAGGAAGAAAGATTGATTTAATTTTATTTATCATTATTATTTTAAAATTTGCTACAGGGCATGTATACTCACCAGAGAGAGACACATAACACACACAGGGAGAGAGAAAGAGTAAGAAAACAAGTGGCCAGGTCTGAGACTTATATGGTGGTTGGCTATGAGGAAGTCCAGCACCTTAATCACCACATCAACTGCCACCCCCTTATTACTTAGTTTTTAATTTGCTATTGAGCGCATGTGTTCACCAGAGAGAGAGAGAGACAACGAGAGGGAGAAGAGGAGGGAGGGAAAGTGAGAAAGTAAGTTGCCAGGTCCAGGATTTGAGACATATTCTGCCATGTGGGAGTCCAGTGCGTTAACCACCATGCCACCTGCTGGCCCAAGTTCATATCTTTTAGATACTTAAATCTCTACAGATAAAAATCACATAATACTTGAGATTTGCTTTAAAATAATCTGGGGGTGGGCTGTTAGACAAAAACTGAGTAAATACTGACAATTATTGAATATGACTGGTGGGTGTATTGGGCTCATTATTCCTTCTGCTTTCAAATGTGCTTGTAAATTGCCATAATAAAAGTTTAAGGGGAACCAGCAGTTAGCGTAATGGCTATGTTGTTGGACTCCCACGTAGTCGACCGTGGTTTGCGTACCGGACCCGGTGGCTTGAAGATAAAGTGTCCATCAGGTTTTACAAGATGTAGAAAACAGGGCAGATGGTGTAATAGTTACGTCACTGGATTCCCAAATGGCTGACCTTGGTTTGAGCCCCAGACCTGGTGGCTTAAAAGAGTGGAGGAGAAGGGATTGCAATGTGGCCATCCTCTCTGTGGGGTGATTTCTCGCCAAGAGGAGAACTGAGGAAAAGGGACTGTGGCATGGTCATCGCCTGAGGGAGAGATTTCTCGTTGTCTCTCTGGCAAGCACACATGCTCTAAAGCAAAAACTCTCTCTCCTAAAAACAAAACCTCTCTTTCTTTTTCTCTCAAAAAAAGAAAAAGATATAGAAAATAATGCAATTATTTCAAAATGCTGAATTTGGAGCTTTTCAAGAAACATCTATTATTTGAACCTATCCATACAGAGAATATGTATACATTTTTAAGAATTATTTTACTTAATTTTATTATTTTAAAAAAATCTGACCAGAAAGAATCAGAGAGAGAAAGAGGGAAACAGGAAGCAAGCTGCCAGGTTTGGAACTCGAACTGTGGTCACCCATGTGGGAATCCAGCACCTTAACCACTATACCACCTGCCAGCCTTAATATATGTATTTATTATTTTGAAAAATATTCAAAGGATACCCTCACAAGATATTAATCTATAATAGATAAACAGGTCAGAGACATCTAGAACTTGAGTCCTGGACACTGTGGCTTATACTCACGCCAGGCGCGTGTGTGTGCGTGCCCAAGATCACAAGAGGAGAATGGAGAAGGGATTGCGACGTGGCCAATTTTCTCGCTTTCTGTCTCTCTGGCAAGCACATGCACCCTGTAGCAGAAAACCCCCCCCCCCCCCAAAAAAAAAGTTTAAAAAGGCAAAATATATGGCCCAGCCTTGGAGGTTTATGAAGAGGACCACTGCATGGGAGGCTGTAAGTCACACAGAATGACTAAAAAAAGTCCTTATCTTTTAGAATTACGTATCAAAAGCTATGCGTGAAATGATGAAACACCTGTGATTTATTCTAAATATTAAGTGGCAAGTAGAAGAGGAGTGGGCGCAGATGGAAACAATATTGACCATGAATTAAAAACAGTCAAACACAGGGACTGAGTTCATGAGATTTGTTATACTATTTCCTCAATTTCTACACGTTTTAAATTTTAAATTTTGTTTTGAATGAGAGGGAGAGAGGAAAATACACAGAAGGAATGGAAAAGGGAGAAAAAAAGATAGGTACTTCTGACAGGTTATCACAATGCTGTGACTTTCCTGCCTCAGACTCTCAGTTAGCAAGGTTTACAAGTATGTGCTACCATGCCTGACCTATTAGGTTGGTCTGGTAACAAAACCCAGGCCTCCCATGAGGCCCCAGCCTTGCACAGCAGCAGCCTCCTGCATGCACCAGCACAGCTGAGCCCATAATGAATATTATTTAATTTTTAAAATTCGTTTTTATTTATTATCATTATTATTCTTTAAGTTGACCAGTGAGAGAGAGTCAGAGATAGAGGGAAAGTGAGAATGTGAGCTACCAGGTCAGGGACTTGAACCGTGGTCAGCCCATGTAGGAGTCCAGCATTTTAACCACCATGTCACCTGCCAGCCCCATAATGAATATTTTTAAAAAGCAATGAAGAACTGGGATTAGAGCTGCTGTTTACTTCAGGTAAGACAGAGCTTACTGCAGAGTCTAACCAAGTTAACTGCGTATTAAACCAAAAAGAGTAACATTCTCTGCAGGATTGTAACAGAATCCAGAGTGTCTACAGCTATGAACAAAATGTAATCCAGGGCCAGCCCTGTGGCCTAGTTATTAAAGGAGCTGGATCTCACATGGTGGACGGCACTGTTCAAATGACCCAGCAGCTTGTAAAAGATGGCATATGTGCCCCAAATCTGAAAAGAATGGAGAAATGAAGAAACTGAAGTGTGACCATGGCCAATGTGGGGTACTTGCTCCCTCTCCTTCTCTGTTCATTTCTCTCTGGCAAGCACACATGTCTTACAGCAAATTTAA